GCTCTCTGCCCTCGGAACGCTCGCGTTTAGCCAATTATCGATGCAGGCCATGGATTGGCAGCAACTGCCAACTGACTGGGGCACCCAGTTGCCAATTAGCCGGGCTCAGCGGCTGTCTGGCTGCAACGCGGTGTATTTTTTTTTTTGCTTCTTTTTGTTTTGTATTTTTTTTTTTTTTTGTATTTTAATTACAACTCGGCCAACTGCAGCCGGCTGCGAGAGAATTGCGTCAAAAGGCCGGCACTGAATGCGAACTAAAACTCCGTCTAAAACTGAAACTAAGACTCAAGCTCAAATGCGGCTTTAACTGAGACGCTCGACTCGATAATTGCAATGAATGAATGCCAAAAGGCAGCAAACAATGCAACGCAAATGGGCCATTTAGTGCAGTCATTAGCATTTATTGTAGCCACACGTACAGCAACAACAACAACAACATTATCCATAAGATAGCGCAACATGCATCATTACTACAATTAAGTCAATATTTGCGGGCCGCAAACTGAGTTGTAAAGCGAAGTCATCGTCGCCGTTGGGTCTTGGGTCTTGGGTCTTGGGTATGGGATAAGAAAGAGCTACCAACGTATTAACACATATTCATCATTACACTGTGCAACATGTGCTTCGAGTCGCAGCAAATGCTGAAATAAGCAATATGCGAAGACGCGCACGTTAATCTGTAGCCGAACTGTGTCATTTAAGCATCATATATATATCATATATCATTTGAACATATCGAATGTTAAACATTTCCATCCGTGAATAATTATACATTAAACCTTCAATCTTTGAAAATGAGTTAGACTCTTGCGTAGTTACCTGAAAGTGAATAAAAAAAGTTGAATACAAACGTTGTCCCCCAATTTTCCACAATTGCGTGTGGAATTATCCAAAACCACGTCAAAGCGTGCCTAGCATAGCTGGGATACAATATTTAGCTTGAGCTTCAATCAGTCAATCAGTCAATCAGCCTTTTATATAAGTATATCTACGTGGTTTTGGTATTGGCAAATTTTCAAACTGTTTGGATTGACTAACTTTGAATAATATTATTGAGTCTTACATCATGATTGATGGCAGAATAGTGCGCCGAATGCTGTTGGACAGTGTTGCTTAATGGCAAAGCGCAAAAACTTTTCATTTTAGAAGCCTACACACACACACGCATGAGAGTGCCAAAGAGTGTGACAGGGGGCCAAGCGGCTGGGCAGTGGGACACGCGAGGAGAGGGTCGGTTAAGTGGAGGGGTAAGAGGGGGAAGGGGGGGGGGTGATGGGGTGTTGCATTGGAGAGGCGTGTATGTCTAAAAGTAGTCATCATTAAAATTCCTTCAGTGACACACAGCAGCTAAGCAGGCAGCCAGGCAGCCAGGCAGCCGGGCAGGCAAGTCAGCAAAACGAGGAGATTTTCATTGGGCAGGGCGCGAGGGGCGGGCTAGAAGGGGAGTTGCCATGTGCAACTGCAACTGCGAGCTGCGAGCTGCGAGCTGCGACAATGGCCAACAAATCCCCAACTGGGCGGCCAGCAAAACAACTAAGCAAAACACAATGGAGAGGAGCCAATGTGGACGCTGCGCTTGTTTCAATTTTTGTTAATTATGTTATGAAAAATACATAAAAACACCAGCGAAATATATAGTAAGAAGAGCGAAGTACTGGCAACTTGCAACGTGCAACGTGCAACAGGGGCACATCTTAATGAGTGAACACAGCGACACCCAAGCAGGCAAGGCCTAAGGAACAGCAGCAGGAGCAGGTGGAGGAGGCCGTGGCCGAGGCCGAGTAGGCGACTGCTTTAGATTTATGGCCTGGCCATGGCTGACACTAACACGCGCGCACGCTATATGGCAGCTATATAGACGCCATGGGCATTATCAAAACTGGGAAATGCCAAAATGTCGTACGTAAAGCCAACGGGCAGGCCGCAAGAGCGACGCGTGGGCGTTGAGACTTGACTTTTTACATTTCTTTGGTTTGTTATTTTTTTTATTCTATTTTTTTTTTTTTTGCTTTTCTTCTAATTAGCATTGCAAGCAAAGTCAACAGCATGGGGCACGTTGCACGCTGCACGCTGCACGCTGCACGTTGCACATAGCTGAGGCGAGGCCAGACTCCCGTTTTTACCTTTTTAAGTGACAAGTAATGCTAATTACAGCAGCTCCGCAGATCACTTGACGCACCCAATGCAACAATGCAAGTCATTAGGCTCTGTGTGCGAGTGTGTGCTAAGTCGCAATGACATTAGCTGCATATTTTTCAAGAGTATTTAACATTAGAACTGATGAAATATATACAACTACAGCTTTAAACAGTCGATTAGATAGATTTAGCTTTAAATGGGTTTTAACTTCGAGCTTAAATCTCACACAATGTTGATATGTTTTTTAGCTCGGTTTTAAATTGTAATCTGTATTGGGACAATAGACAATTAATTATCTTGACAAGTGCTGTAAGCATTTCAAATACAATTGAATGCTACATTTGCATACTAAGTAATATTTTGTATAAGCATTCATTGCCCAAAGACCGTAACATTTATTGAAGTTATATATATTATAACATATTACTGTTAACGCCATGACATGCAAGTATGTTATAAGCAGTATGTAAGTAGCAGCTTGACAGAACGTTTAACAGCAGAATGCATAACATGCCATACAGGTGAACTGTTATAAAAAGTTCACCCTTAACGCCATGTTATGTACTCCGCTGCTAACCGTTCTGTTAAGCTCGTTGTACACATGTTATTGTTCGCAGCTGGAGCTCTTATGTTAACATATGTGTAAATACTGTAAAATGTTAATGTTAATTTTTTTGTTCCACGAGCCGTTTACAAATGACGCATACGACACATTGTATATATATAGTGTAGTTTTTATTCATTTATTAATCATATATGTTTTTTTTTGCTAGTTTTCTGTTGTTGTTGTTGCAATTATATGCTTACATATATATATATTTTAATTAAATGTGCGGCAATCGTTGCTGCCGTCGCCGACTTTAATATATTTTTTAATTAACGCCTTTTTCTTAGTTGCTCGGTTGCTTTCATTTTATTTCTTTTGCCAATTGCTTTCTTTTTTTTTTTTTTTGCAACTGCGCCAAGTGCATTAATTGTTAATTAATAATTATTGTTGCCGCTGCCAGCAAATGCAATTAAAGCGCAAAGCGCACAATTTAATTGTTCTTGTTGTTGCCGTTTTTGCCGTTTTATTACTTATTGTGTGTATTTTTAATTATAAACTTTATTTCCATGCTTATTTTTATTTTTCCTATTTATTTGCTGCCCTCTCATTCGATTAGTTCCACTGAAATGAGACAATTTGCGCTCTCATAAATTTAACAGCGTCACTAGAGGTCGCCCGCCCCTCTCCCCCTCGCCACTGTGTGTGTGTGTCTAATTTAAATAGAATAACAAACTAATTAGTGTTGATATATATATATATATATATATATATAGTATAAATATATATATACCCATTTTGTTGAACATTTGTTCAATGCTCTGCGAGCAATCACGATTCTTTTTCTTATTATTAATTATATTTATTTTAATTGAAATTCCTTCGGTTTGTTGTGTTCGCTTCGCAATTGATTTATTGTTAATAAAATTTTGCTATTGCCTTGTTTAATGTAAATGTGGCCCGATCTGACTTGCATAAGTAATCAAAATGCTAAGCACCCAAGCTAACAGCAAAAAACAAATAACAACAAATAATAGCACTGACAGCGTATTCGATTATTAATTACATATAATTCAACCAAACGTTAAACATTAAGCAAAATCTAAACAAAATTTAAAGTCGCAATTTGTATGCTCTTTATTTTTCTGAACAAACGATTAGCATAACAGTATTATGTTGTTTGCAGAAACTGCTAATGAACAACATTGACCTAACAGTATGCAAATAACAGCTGTCTGCGGCGCACACAGAACAAATGCCCAATAACAGTTACGACTCTTAACATGAAGCTTAAATGCCAGAACCAGGGCAAAGCTAATAACATAGCTGTTATGCCGCAGCAATGTGCGCGATTAGCATAGAGGGAAAAGAGATTGAAATAACCAGACAATTTAAATGACAACGCGCGCAAACGCAAAACGATTAGCCGCGAAAGAGTGAGCGCAGTACAAACCGATATTAGAGCGAGAACGAGCTACATACATACGCATACGTACGTACATATGTCAGCCGCATGCCAATTAGCCGGCGTGCAGTCGCTGCTGCTGCGGCTGCTGCTGCTGGCGTTAGCAGCGACGCCGGCGACAAGTTTCGTTTCGAACTCAAATCTCACATATTTCGGTCAATTGGGTTTATTTTTAATTATATATTCGTACGCTTTTTATGTGCGTTGCTTTAGTACTTGTCTTAAAATTAATAAACATTGCTATTTTTAGCTGTAGTAAAGAGCGAGAGCGAGAGAAAGAGAGAGAAGCTGCAAGAGAGTAAGAAGAAACTAACAGAGTTTGGGTTGAGATTTCTTGTGGGTGATATTTTTTGATTGATTGATTGTGAACAAGTGTGCGTGCGAGTGTGTGTGTGTGTGTGTGTGTGTGTGTGTGTGTGTGTGTGTGTGTGTGTGTGTGTGTGTGTGTGTGTGTGTGTGACTGTGAATGAATGAGCTCAAGTCAGTGTGAATGAATATCCGTTGCATTTGGCTGGGAGCCAATAAAACAAAATAACATTTATATGGTGAACATTTAAGTATATCCCACTTTGTCGCCCCTTTGATGGATTTGGATGTATTTGTACCATTGACATGTGTAAATCATAGAGTTGACAAGCTTTCCAAATGTTCAACGTAAATAAACTTCATCTCTATATCCAAATCTATTTCGAACACCTTTGAAATCAATTTTAAATCAGATTTTGAATTAAATTTTGATTGAACACATCTGAAATTAGAAAAAAATATGCATTTTGGTGCTTTTTTACCGGCCTTTTTCTAACAATAATTACGCCGTTATTAATTATGTCCTATTTTTCTGTTTCTTTCTAGGTAAGTTTTCAAAATTTAAACGTTCATCTGCCATACATTTAAGCTTAACAGGTAAAAACAATATAACTTTACATACACACATATTTATCTATACATAACAGACTGAGACAGACTGAGGCAGACTGAGTCGCGAGAACGTAGCTATCAGCAATTGTGAGAATCACATAGAACGGCGCGCAATTTAATTTATAGCTAAAAGTGTTGAGAAATTATAAATTATTAACGTAATATATTTAGCAGAACAGCCTGAGACGCGCATAGAGCGGCGCTATCAGTAATTGTGAATTGTGAGAATCACATAGAACGGCGCGCAAGTTTATGGCTTAGCTGTTAACTGTGGCACTTGTCGCCGCTTCTATCTTGTCTGCTTTCGGCGCTTTTTTTTTATTGGTTTATTATGCCAAAGTGCTGTCATAAAACCGAAACAACGACAAAAGCTACAAATATACCAGCTAGCGGGCATTTTAATCAGTCAACAAATGAACCTTGCGCATATTTTTAAGGCTAATTAAGTCGCAAATTATGAGCACCTTGTCAGCGTGGGTTTCAGCAGGCTTAAAAATGTGCCGCTACTTGGGTTTTCTTTTTGTTTTTTTTCGTTCTGTTTATTTTACTGGCAAAACGAGCCTTACGAACACGTAAGAATGCGTCAAGGGCTTAAGGCTTACTGCCACTGCGCGAGTTGCACTTTTACAGTTACGGTTTATTGTCATTAATGCTTAAATGTTTAATAACAATAACAATGTTAAACATTCTGTTCAATCTTAATCTTAAATCTGCAACTAAAGAGCGCTATGTTCCATATAATGTGCAGATCGAATAGGTAGATACATACTTAGCTTTTCAGGGCTGCCACTTGGCACAAACTAAACAGAAATGAGAATTACATAGAAAGGCTTGCAATTTTTTTTTTGCTTAGCGATCCACTCCTATCAAGATCGCTGCACTAAATTATAAAGCGCTTAAGGAAGGATCTTTCGTGTTTCATTAAACATATTCTCACATTTTTGCCCATGTCTGCAAGGGTATTAAATCTTCGGAATGCCATAAATATTCTTAGTTTCTCTTTGCTTTTAACTTGACATTTTCCTTTTCTACAAAGTTTGGTAGAATTTGATTCATAGAACTATCGGCCTATCATATCTGAGCATGTCATGAGTGCTTAGGCAGTCGCATATCGTTTCTGGGGGGCGTCTTCAGCTTGTTGTTGTTGCTCTTCTCTCTCTCTCTCTCTCCTCTCTCTCTCTCTCTCTCGCTTTTTTGGGCGTGCGCTGTGACGTTGAGAATGTGTAGATTGTAAAGCCAGGTGGCTTAAAGCAGTTTTTATTTTTTATTATTTTATTATGATTTTATTAGATATTTTTTTTTTTTTGTTTGGTTCGCAGCGCTGGCAATAAATTTCGTATGATATCAGTTTTTGTTTTTGTTTTTGTTTTTTTGGGGCGTGTGAAATGTTAAAAATTACGCAGCTTTGTGGCATTTTCTGCAAAGTTCAATGAAAATTAATTAAATATCGACAACAACAAGCTGCTGACATAACAGAGGTATATACAAGCTAGTACACAGCACACCCTGCCCCAGCCGCCCACTGCAACCCCCATTGCAGCCCCGCTGCAACCCCTGACAGCCCCTGCTTGCCGTGCAGCAAAGAGGTGGGCCCATTAAATGCAACACTGACAAAATTAATTGCCACTTTTTCGCATTTGGCAGAGCAACAAACGAAAATGTCATGAAAACGCAAACGAAGACGAAGACGGAGACGCAGACGGAGACGTAGACGAAGATGACGATGAGAAAAACGAGCAAAAATCAACAGAAAAATTATTATGCGCCAAGCATTTGGGCAAGAGAAGGATTTAAGAGCGCATCGGGGGGAGGAGGCGCCGACCGAGAGGGGGGGGGGGGGGTCGTCGCTTGCATTGCAAATTAGCAAATGCTGTCGGCGGCAACTGCAAATCGGCTGCCAACTGAGAGCGGAAGTCGCCGCAAATTTGTGGAGGAAATGAGTTTGGCCCGACGCTGGAACTTGCAACCGATTCAATTGAAGTAAATACAAATCTAAACCCCGTACCTGCCCCCAACCCCCACTTCCATACCCATACCAATTGCCCCCTATGGGCTGGATTTGAATTGGTTTTTCAATTTGTCACTTTGGCGGCAGCGGCAAAAGAGAGCGGCCAGCCGCCGGCGCAGCTGGGAAGTGGCACAGCTGTTCGGCCAGCAGAGGAGGCTGCATTAGCCGAGAGAATCGAATCACTTAATCTTGCCATGGCCCACATCCCGGCGGAAGCAACACAATCACGGAGCGCGGCTCCAACAACTGGCCCAACAACAACAACAAGAGTAGATAGTTAAGGCCAATTTAGATGTCATGCTATGAGTTTTCCAGATGCAGAATAAAGCCAGAAATCTGAAATATCTGCGGTACGCCGTAGTCTGATTGTCCTTGTAGACATTTGCCAGACATGAGAAGAGCCCAGTTTGATGAAAATAACGAACGATCGTGCCTTTTATACTCTGTAATATAGTGATTGGACTTACTTACTTTTCGACCGATCAATGATACCCATAAGATATAGGGATTCGAACCGGCTAGGGATTCTGACAACAGAAAGACGGCTCGGCTGGCTCGAATGTGTCTTCTTTACGTAGAAAGTTTTCTAGTTTGGCTGCGCGCACTGACAGCAGAGTTGCCACATTAATTAGCATATTGTGCAGCACAGCTGGCAACTCTGTTTGTGGCTGCCATATGCATAACATATTAGAGCATCTAGGCATGCTATTTGGTCCCTTCTCCCTTTGCCCACAAGCTGCCCCTCTGCTGTTGGTTGTTTTTTCTTTTTTGCTAATGGACAACATGTTGCACGCTTCAAAGCGTTGCATGTTTTTGTTGTTGTCAACTGTTTCTTTCTATTGTTGTAAAAAGCTACAAACACACACACACACACACACAGGCACACACATAAAAACATTATGTCTGAATCATGTTACAAAACAATTTAGCAAACAAACTGTCAAAAACATGACAACTTAAAGCGTTGCCTGAGACGCAGACGCCGACGCCGACAGCGACTGCGGCAGTGGCAGCGGCAGCAGCGGCTGTGCTGCTGTTGACTCTGTTGCTGTTGTTGTTGCTGTTTCTGTTGACGTTGATGAGTCGAGCACATTGTAAATGACATTTGAGAGCGCAAGAGTGTAGAGTGATGTGTAGAGTGTGCTGGAGTATGCTGAGCCGGCGAAGAGTGGGAGAGTGGGAGAGTGGAGAGAGAGATGGGCCCAAATGAGTTTAGCTTTTGTGCCTGCCCGCTTGCCTGCCTGCCTGCCTGCCTGACAAATTATGTTTGTGTTTAATTCTACATTCGGCATACGCACATGCACACATGCATAGATTGCGGCCATTTCGCTCTACACACACAGCACCCGCCCTCTCCCTGTGCGCTGGCACATGCAAATCGCTTGCGTAATTAAATCAAAGCGCAACCCTTCACGCATTACGAGCTATGTTAGTATTGTTTTTATTTTGTTGCTGTTGTTGTTGTTGTTGTTGTTTTTTATTTCGTGGTGGTTTTAATTGTTTGGCCTGCGCTTCACATATTTTCGCACACCCCCTGCGTACACACACACACACACACACACACACACACACACACATTCACTTTGAGCTAAGCCATATAATTTTCGTAATGCCATTTACGATGGGACGCTAAGCTGCCAAACGCCCCAAGATCAAGCGCCTCAGAGCGATATGCCGCAAAAGAGTTGCGACTTTGGCTGCAATTAAATGCAGCAGCTAGCTTGGCAACCCTTTGCCAAGACACGCAATATGCCATTAAACACGCATGCACACACACACACACAGAGAGAGCGAGAGAGAGCGGCATATGTGCATACAAATTCTTTATGTACATATGTACATACAGTATGTCAATAAAGTGTTTTTACTAACAAAAAAAAACTAATTTTTTGGGTTTAGTTGAAAATAAATGTACCTAAAAGTGAGAATTTTTTTTCAATTATAATTTATTTCGATTCTATATTTCTCCTAGAACTTAATGGCAAAAAGAATTGTTAAATAACATTACCCAAACATTTTATAAAATTAAAAAACTAAAAACATTCACATTTTATGCTGTCAATAAAGTGTTTTTACAGCTACGGTAAATTGTTTTGCCGTTCTCTTTTGGGTGATCCCGTTAGATTTGGGCCCATGCGTTTTGGCTTCTCTTGTGTCTTCGACTTTTCTTGTCATTTTCTATTGCAATTTATAACGTTTTGCTTTAATTTTATGAAAAATAAAATGCCAGGAAAAAGAACAACTTTTGAAGTCGCTCAGCTGGTGTATTATAACCATCAGATGGGACGTCAAGTCTCGGAACTGGCTGATATGTTTAATTTATCAAAAGCAACGATATACAACATATTAAACAGAGCCAATAAGGAAGATAGGCTAGAGGCAAAGCCAGTATGTGGTCGACCCTGCAAAATTTCTGACAGAGATAAGCGAAAAATTCTGAGAAAAATTGAGAAAAATCCACAAATTTCGCTTAGGGATATTGCTCAGGAGTTCAAGGAAGAAAGTGGTGTTGATGTGTCACATGAAACTGTCCGAAAATTACTGAATTCCAATGACTACACATCACGAGTTGCCAGGAAAAAACCTCTACTATCGGCGGCGAATATTTTGAAGCGGCTATCGTTCGCTCAAGTCCATGTAAATAGTTCGAACGATTTTTGGAGTAACGTCATATTCTGTGACGAAAGCAAGATGATGCTATTCTACAACGATGGGCCATCCAGAGTCTGGAGAAAGCCACTAACAGCGTTGGAAAACCGCAATATTATTCCAACCGTTAAATTCGGAAAACTATCAGTGATGGTGTGGGGGTGTATTTCGAGCAAGGGTGTAGGAGATTTGACCTTCATTGAGAATACCATGGATGCTAGACAATATCTGAGCATTTTACAGACACATCTCGTCAGTAGTGCACAGAAATTTGGATTCTATGAGGACAATAAGCCAATTTTTAAATTTTACCAGGACAATGACCCGAAGCATAAAGCTCATATGGTAAGAGTTTGGCTGTTGTACAACTGTGGAAAGGTGTTAGACACTCCACCACAAAGTCCAGATATGAATCCAATAGAAAATGTGTGGTCATATTTGAAAAAAAAAGTCGCAAAGCGGAGTCCAAAATCAAAAACTGATTTAAAAGCTGCTGTACTGGAAGAATGGCAGAAGATTCCAGAAACATACATACAAAACCTTATTGTTTCAATGAAACGGCGATTGCAGGCTGTATGTGACGCTAATGGCAGCCACACAAAGTATTAAAAAAAAATATTCCTGTTTTTTTAACATTGTTATTTAGTAATAAAGTTTCGTGTAAAAACACTTTATTGACAGCATAAAATTTGAATGTTTTTAGTTTTTTAATTTTATAAAATGTTTGGGTAATGTTATTTAACAATTCTTTTTGCCATTAAGTTCTAGGAAAAATATAGAATCGAAATAAATTAGAATTGAAAAAAAATTCTCACTTTTAGGTACATTTATTTTCAACTAAACCCAAAAAATTAGTTTTTTTTCGTTAGTCAAAACACTTTATTGACATACTGTACATAACTGCACATGATAATGTCATAAAATTAAATGGCCACACTTATTGTTGCCGTTGTCGTTGCTTTAATTAGAGTTTTTCCAGCGCGCCGCTGTCGCTTTTACTGCACACACACGCAAAAGTCGGCAATGAAGAAAATTTCCTTTCCTTGTTCCATGACTGGGCCGACTGCCTGGCTGCCTGGCTGCCTGGCTGGCTGCTATAAATATTATAATTATCAAAAAGTGCAGCCAGCAACGTCCACATTCACCGTCGACGAGTAATCGTAATTGAGTTAATTAACACGCCACAAAACGCGCCAGGCGACGCTGGAGCGGGATATATATATGTATATGTATATGTACGTGTATGCTCCGCAAAGCAAACAAGTCAGAGCGAGAGGGCATGCGTAGCAGCAGCAGGTTGAGCAGCCTAGCGCAGCAGGCATTTAATTGCTTGTACAAAATAATAATAACAACAGCAGCAGCAGCAGCAGAGGCAGCAGCAGCAGCAGCAGCAGCAGAGGCAGCAGAGGCAGCAAAAGGCAATGTTAGCCGCGCGACGGAACATGCAATTGTTGTTGCTGCTGCTCTCCTTTGCCCAAAGAGTGGGTGAGTGAGAACGAGTGAGAGCGCGCGTTCGTTGTGAGTACGGGCAAATGTTAAAGTTAACATACTTGCGCCTTATCGAACACTACAGCAATCTGTTGTGAATAAGTGCTGTAAATGCATTTGGTTGGAATTTATTTACATGCAAATATGTGTATTTATGCTGTTGTCGCAATCTGCTGCACAAGCAGCGTTCAGTGTCAACCAAGACATGCCACACAATGCAGCATGGCCAGCTCACTTAGTTGCCGGTAATGACAAGGCTGCAAAACTGATGACTAGCACTTGGCCAGCCTAAAACAACAACAACAACAAGCGAGACAACAACAACAACAGCAACAACAACAACAACGTCGAGCACAACGGCGAAGAGATCATTAAAAGTCCCAAAGCAAAACAATTATGGAACTCATTGAAGCCAATTATTAATAAAAACAGCAGCAACAGCAGCAGCGACGACGCTTCGCTGCCGGCGCAACAAGTGGCAAGTGGCCAACAGTAGCAGCAACAACAACAACAGCAGCAACAACAACAACAAGAGACAACGGCAAAAACTGAAAGGCCTGCAGCAAGCGCGGCCTTCGTCTTCGTCTCGTCTTCTTCCGAGTGTGTGGCA